AGTTTCTCGGTTGCGATATCGGAGGTTTTAAAGGAACCTGGAAATGAAATGGAAAAAGCAGAATAGTCGGGGAGGAAGGGTAATTTTATTAATATTCTGACACAGACGGATTATCTTCTCGGAGAACTGGCGAGATCTGATTTGGTTACAGTCAAGGAATTTTCTTTATTGAAAAGTCTGGGTAGTTTCCGCTCTTTTACGTTCGGCTAATCCTTCGGCAGCAGAAACCAATGCAGACCGAATCCTGAAAAATCCTGTTGTTCAAAAATACCATTAAAAAAAAATGGGATTCCCTTCCCAATTTATACCAGACCCTTTAGGTCTGGTAGGAATGTTAGGGGGGCCCCCGATGTTAAAAGAAAAAAGCATGGCGTTCCCCTGCAAAGTCATACCAATCCCCTTAGGGGGACCCCAACACCAAAAAAACAAAAACTTGGGATCCTATGCCACACCCCTAATCTGACCAGTGGCCGGGCAGAGCAAGAAAGGCCACATGCCCTTGACATTGGGGGGTGCTTTTCCAGGGCAGGACCCCCTGGAAAAGCACATTGTCCCCATGCTGATGAGGACCTCTTCTCCACAACGCTGGCCCAGTGGTTGTGGGGGGGTCTGTGGGCAGGGGGGCTCATCTGCATCTGGGTGCCCCCTTTCACAAAGGGGACACACAGATGTGCCCCCCCTTGTGAATGGGGTAGTTGTTACCCCTACTCATTCACCAAATGGTAAATAAAATAGTAAATAAACACACAACACCTTGAAAAAGTCCTCTATTTCAACAAAAAACACGTCAGTTTTTGACATTTCCTTTATGGCCAAAAAAGCCCCCCCCAAACAGTGTTTATTTATGCAATCCATCATCGGTCATGTCATTCAGTAATGTAGATCCTCGTCAATCACAAAAAACGGCGGGCCCCCAACTCGCCATAATAAAAAAAAGTCCTGCCGCTCGCCAACCCATCCAAGGCCGACGAACTGCCGCTGCAAAATGACAGCCAAATGTAAACAAATGGGTGGAGCGAGTCATGACACTTTATGAAAGGGGGCACCAAGATGCAGATAAGCCCCCCCCTTCCCGCAGACCCCCACTGGGCCAGGGTTGTGGGGAAGAGGCCCTTGTCCTCATGGGCATGAGGACAAGGTGCTTTTCCAGGGGGTCCCTGCCAGGCCACTGCTCAGATTAAGGGTCTGGCATAGGATTTTAGGAGGGACCCCACATTTTTTGTTATGCCTGTTTTGGGTGTTGGGGTCCCTCCTAACATTCCTACCAGACCTAAAGGGTCTGATATGAATTGGGGAGGGGAACCGCACTATTTTTTTCTTCTTCTTCTGAGTTTGGACACAATAACAATGCTTGGGTCTGCTTTGTTGGGCTGTGCGCTTCGCCTGTTGTATTGAGAATAGCGCTGCAGCCGGAAGCGTGCCGAAGGATTAGCTGAACGTTCGGTCACATTCTGCGGCTCTTTAGTGCATAACCCCCATGTGATGCATTGCAGATATACAGTATATACATAATGACACTGTTTGGGTGTGTGTGACCCTGATGGAAATGAGGAGGGTAGGGACAGGACACATGGAGGTTTCTTGGTGAGTCGTCGTGTTACGTGGTGGGAAATAGGAAGGATTAGGCGTGGGGAGGGCAGAAGTGAAACTCCTTCAGAGAATAAAAAAGGAATTTCCATTCACAGACATGACTCTGTGTGAAGTCACAGGAGGGCGTGTGTTTAGGGGAATTGCTGCTTCTAGGAAAGGGAAATGGAATCCCTTACATCTAATAGGTTGGACTTGATGGACTAATGTCTTTATTCAACCTCAAATACTATGTAACTATGTAACCTTCACCGGGCAGAAAGACCTCCTGAAAATGCCGGCCGACTGGCTCTCTGACTTTTTCTGTCACTGACCCGGAACAAGCGAGCGGATTAAAAAAACAGAACTGCTGATTTCCGGACTTGTTCCAGGTCCGTATGGCAGAGAATACTGAATGGAATGGCCAGGAAATTGATATTGCCAGGGCCAAACTTAAAGAGGAACTTGACCCCCCACCATGTTTTTATTTTTTATTCACATGTCGGGTCCCATACTGCCATCTTCCCGTCTCACATCATCAGGAGCCGGCTGTCTCGTTCAGGTTCTTGCTGCTGGCTCTGATGATGCGCCGTCAGGTCCATCTTCCAGCCACTGTGTGTCCCGACTCCCTGCTCCTGCAACCTCCTGGGACATGAGATGGGGAGATCTCAGGAGGGTGCAGGGAGAATGGTGATAGGGTGTGTGTGTGTAAGGTGGTGGTGGTGGTGTGTGTGGGTGTGTGTGTAAGGTGATGGTGGTGGTGTGTGTGGGTGTGTGTGTAAGGTGGTGGTGTGTGTGGGTGTGTGTGTAAGGTGGTGGTGTGTGTGGGTGTGTGTGTAAGGTGGTGGTGTGTGTGGGTGTGTTGAGCTGCCTTAATGATGACTGAGCTGCCTTAATGATGACTGAGCTGCCTTAATGATGACTGAGCTGCCTTAATGATGACTGAGCTGCCTTAATAATGAATGGGCTGTCTTAATGCAACCCATGATAACATACATGCATTTTAACGCACTGCAAATGGTCCAGCTAGGTGTGAATGGGCCCTTAACCCTCAGACTGGTCACTGGTTTGAGCCATGATTTGGATTATTTCTCAGGTGGTGCAGACATTGGCAGTGATGTTTGACGTGTCCTCTGTTATTCTGACCATCTCCCCGTCTTTTCTCTGCAGTATATCCCTCTGGATGGAGAGTTCATCCTGTCACCCGGTGCAGGTTTTATGGCGGCCTCTGCTGACGATCCAGCGTGCGGTGAAGGTGAGGATGAGGATGATACATGATGTTTACTGAGAGTCTGAAGACCACCATTTAGTAGAGAGGGGGCTGGGTATCCATTCCTTCAGAATATTGCCTCTCCTCCCTCAGCTGACCAGGTGGGTGCATTATGGGTTGTTCCTCTATTCCCAGCAGCGATCCTGCAACATTTTTGGCTAAAATGTCGCCATTTGTGAACCCAACGAACCCCCCGGGACTCACCATGAACCCATGAGAACGCTAAATCTGAACATCATCCCTAAGTATTACAATAGAGAGACAGGAGCACAGCTAAAATATGACATTACTCCCTCCCCCACCCCCCGGAAATAAAACTTTGAGATCCTCCAGATATCTGGACAATTTTGCTCCTGCAGAGGCGATTTACCAGAACTACACGGGTGAACGTTGGTTTCCTTATCTTGCACTGCAGAGGCTCAACAAGCTGGGAACAGCTGGATGCCCATTGGATAAAATGTTTTCCTGTGCTCCTCAGCTCCATCTAGTGGCCATAATGTATTATTACAACACACTAAGAAAAATAATATATTATTATTATTATTATACAGGATTTATAGAGCGCCAACAGTTTGCACAGCGCTTTACAATATAAGGAAGACATTACAATCATAATACAAGACAATTCACGACAAGATGGTAAGGAGGGCCCTGATATATTACATTTATTTTAAATAGCACTGACGATGTACACATTGCACATTCACGTCAGTCCCTACCCTGCAGGAGCTTACAATCTAAGGTCCCTATCTCACATACAGGGTTGATTTAGACTGGAGCCAATTAACCTTCCAGCATGTCTTTGGAGTGTGGAAGGAAACCCACAAAAGCACAGGGAGAGCATGCAAACTCCATGCATATACAGGGTTATTCACAAAAGGGTGATGAGTTTGGAGAAGGCAGGAGAAGTGAACAATCTAGGACAGCATAGGTGATATGGAAAAATTCTCCAATTCAGCTCACTTTCCAGTTCTGCTATGTTGTCCTAGATTGTTCACTTATCCAAACACTTCACCCTTTTGTGAATAACCCTGATAGTGTTCTGACTGGGACTCAAACCCCCAGTGCTGCAAGGCGGAAGTGTTAACCACTAAGCCACTATATTAAGAACATTTGTTTCTGGCATTATTTGGCCAAAATGAATGTTCGCAGCTATTCTCAGAGCAAATTGTTTATAAATAGACCCCTTAGTGGCTGCAAAGATATGTACAGCTTTACCAACACACATGCCAAAGTTGCAAAACTAACGTTACGATTTGTTTGATCTTCCGTCATTAACAGATTAAATCCCTTACGTTATTCTGCAAACACTGAAAATGTGTCATAAATATCACGTGTCATAAATATCATGTGTCATAAATATCACGTGTCATAAATATCACGTGTCATAAATATCACATGTCATAAATATCATGTGTCATAAATATCATGTGTCATAAATATCACGTGTCATAAATATCACGTGTCATAAATATCACGTGTCATAAATATCACGTGTCATAAATATCACGTGTCATAAATAGTTTATGATATCGCCCTGACATTGATGTATGACGCATGTTTTCAGTGTTTGAACAATAAGAGTACTGATGTATTTATTTCGTTTTATTATATTCGGTAGAAACGTTTTGAGCTGGGACAAAGTATGTGGGCAAAGGCAACCCCATTCCCCCCCACC